AAATTTTATTAATGAAAATAAGTTAATTTTCACAATCACTTATGAGCTTGTATAGTATAAAAATATAATATAAAATAAGAAGCAAAATTTCCATCGTAGATGTACAGGAATAATACATTTAAACTTTATATAAATATATTCCAAGAATTCGGATAAATATTAATACTACATGACACTGTTGAATAATACTATTAAAATCCTTGAGACCGACTACACGAACATTGATATTCACGGCCATGATATACTCGTCTGAAAATACTACAATTTGAAACCCTTGAAACGAAGAGTAGAACCATGTACAAAGATTTCATTTATATGTTAACACCTAGGTAGAAGTTTTATTAAATAAGCAAATGAAATGAAAACCTGTACATTCTTCCATATTTCAATAGAGCGCTTTCTTTAGAATTATGGTGATATAAAGTTGATGATAATAATAACATGAAAAAAATACAAAGGTTATTCCATTTAAAAAAATTTAAATTGGTTGTTTCAAAATTTTTTAACATTCATTTATTTAATCTAACGAGTGCAAAATGAAGTATAGGAAAAGCCCAATAACGTTTGCATATATTTCCTTTCTATTCTTTGAGAATCAAATAATTAACCTTCTACATAGGTGTCAAATTGTAAATAAAAATATATTTATTATAGATTGATTATTAAACTATATGTATAAATTTGAGGAATAATTCTACATATCGAGGGCGTCATATCAGAAGTGCGTAAGAGCGACTATAGTCAGTTTTGGGATTTTAGGGCGTATGACCTCATTTAATCAATTCGCTTAATATATATTATTAAGTATATATTCATAAATATCAACACTCTATTCTAACGCATTTTACTTAGGTGTATGAACCAATTTTGCAAAACTATAATAGAAAGGTGTGTGCTCATACGCCCTTCTAATACTTGCTAGATAGTATTGGCTTATACGCCCTCAGCAGATTTGGTAAACTTCACATAACCTTACATTTGGTTAAATTTGTGAATGTTCATAGATACAAATTCTGTTATTTTTGGTGTTTTGTAAGTGTCTTTGACACACACCCGATCAATGTTACAACATCGCTATATTCTGAAAAACTTCCTATAAATAAATTAAAGTATAACAATTTATTGTCTATGTGCCAAGACAACGATGCAGTCATTCCTCCAGAATATAAATATTTTTATGTTTCTTTGCCAGTAATAAATAGTTCTCAAAATTCCGATAATGAAGAATTTGATGACGAGACGTCTCTACAAGTACGAGAACGACTTATAAAGAGGAAAAGGCACCGAAATAAAATGTAACAAATTTTAGTTGGTATTAATACAATTACTGTATTAATAAAGCATATTTTTGTATAATGTAAGCGATAGCAGTTGGGGACACCCGGTATACAATACCAATGGAGCTGCTTTGATGGATTGAATGCGAGGCATCAGTTTATTTAGGAATATATAGTTTACATTTATGATGTATAAGTTAGTCATTCATATAGTTCGTTCTCGAGTCTCAAGTGCTCTACATGTCTATGCATTATTATTTTCACACAATATAGTTTTACATTTCACTTTCATTTTTGTTTTCTTGTTTGAGAGTTTACAATCTTCTTCTTCTTCTTCTAGTGGTTGGTCCTAATAAGTCCCATAGCACTGCGGCCTGATTAGGCCTATTGTGCTTCCTATTACCAGTCCTTTAAAATAGTGCATGCCTATTATTTAAATAAATTTAATACACCTTCCTGGAACATCCTAATATCATGACACATGAGCCGGAAATCAATTACTTGTTGACATTTTACTAGATGTTAAATCTCCCCAATGAACTATAATGTATTGGTCTTATTGGCAAAATCTGCAAATTCATTCTAAATCTTGATTTCTAAAACGTTTTTTTCATTTCCTGTAAAATTTCAGACTTAGTTCGTACGCCCTTCTGATATGATGCCCTCGATATGAAAATGGCTTTATATAACACGGGTCCTAAAATGAGTCATAAGGGACCAATAGTGATTCAAAGCTTGCCGCAGGCAATAGGTTTTTGTTTAATATCACTGAAACTGCTTTGGATATGGCTATAAATTTTGGTATACAAATTACCATCAATAAAGGTCAGTTATTTTCAATTTTAATTGTGGTCGTCGACAGAGAAGCTGCTAGGATTATTTACTCCAATTTTATCAACACGCTGCTACTTTGAAATTATCTTTTAAAATTTTGATTCAGTAATTTTTTACATACACTGTATTCCTGTAAAAAATTATCAGAAAAAGTGCTCCAAATGAGGTACTGTCATTAATAAATTGTGGCAAAGAAATACATATCGCTAAAGTAATTCAACAACTGTCTGGTCTAGGTCATTATGTGTGGTGCAATATGGATTCGGCGAGCTCAGATGTGCATTGAAAATTAAGGAAATAACTTCGAACAGTTGTTATAAATTTAAGTTTAATTTAATTTATAACTTAGTGTATCTCCGTTAATAAAAAAAACTACATTTTTTGTATTCATTATAAATCACTACTTTAACTGAACTTATTCGTATAGGTTAAAAATTACATTTGTTTAATCACCCTTTAATCAATGGCACTACTTACACTAAATTAATTAGTGAATTTTTAGAGGACCAACTTTTATTGTTAGACGTAGAATCCTGAATCAAAATTTTAATTAAAACTGAACATGACTGCCTACTTCAAAAAATAACTTTTATTATATACCAAAATTTATGTCTAAAACGATTCTGGAGACAAAACAAAAACACACAGTCAACACCCTTTACTGAACAGTCACTCCTTTATGACTCATTTTAAGCCATATTCATATGAACTGTTTTTTATGATTTCACAATTAAACTCATTTTTCAAGTTTATACATATGGGTTAACCTCTTGAACGCTTGAAATATATAATTGTTATGAACTAAGTCAATAAATAGTGATTATGACGGATATATACGCTGCTAAATAATTTTTGAAAAAAGTTCCCTTGCGCATATCTATTGCATACTAAGATATACAGTGACTAGCGTCGTATAAGTTGTTTTACTTGTTCATAACGGTGTAGATCTTTGAACACGAATATTATCGTATCTCGTGTGTTTCACAAGGTCTACATACATATTTATAACAATGTATAACGATTTAGCAAATATATTAACTTAGGAAGTAGAGTCAGAACTGCTGGATGTTATGTGAACGTATTCAGGTATTTTACCGGTAACGCAGGAATCCAAATTCCTTCTCTACATACTGATGGTAAGAATTATATGTATTTGCAACAATATTAATATTAATTTGTTCTGTTTTCATTTTCTTAGAATATAAATACAGTGTACCGTTTGTGATGGCCGCAATTCTATTGTAAACTGAATATGACATATACAGGGTGATTCACAACTTATCCAAAAAAATTTGGGAATAGATGCAGCATGAAAAATGGAATCAATATCGTAAAAAAATTTTTGTAAAATCCTTAGTTTCCGAGAAAAAAATATTGAAGTTATAGTACATTCAACTACTACATAGCTGGACAATTGTAGTCTCTAGCGTCATTCGCCACGTGGTCTCAGGGACTCCGAATACTGAATTCAGATTTTGCAATCGTCGTTGCAATATTTACCTGTTATCTGTGGTGTTTACAATAGGTTTTTAGTAGTTAGTGTCAAAAATGGGTAGTTAGTGTCAAAAATGGTTTGCGTGTACTCGGAGTTCATGGATATCGTTTTAATTTATAGTGAAGCATTTGTGTTATGGTGAAACGAGACAACATATGTGTTAGTTCGTAGAAACTGAGTACAACGGACCCAAATGTGTTTACACATTGGTGGATAAAATATTGAACGATTGTTGCAACATCGGGTATGTCAAATGATTTTATTATTTAAAAACACAAATTAATTTTATTAATTAATAAAGGCAAAAGCAGTCGAATTTGCCGATATAAAATAGGTGCGATAAAATTCTATTTACATATTTCTTTCCTTGCGAAAGTCTTGTCCGTTTTTATCACACCGCCATGCCGGTCGCATTGTGCGAGGTCAGGTTTTACAGTGGACCAGTTTCCAGTGCCGTGCAGAAGTGTATTTTTAGATCATTTTCGAACTGCC